GAGCTACACACAGCAGGGCTGAAGGGTCCTCACTGAGGGGTTTAAGGAGGGGGAGAAGGCCAGTCACTGGGGAGTACCAAAGAGGCTGGCAAGCTGGTGGAGAATGAAACTGGATTATATTTAGGATTTAGTTCTAAAACCCTGAGAATATTAAAACCCCAAACAACAGAACACTCCTCTTACTAGAAGGCTGATTGGTATCATCCTCAGAGTTATTTCTTCCATATTAAATATCAACATTTTGTACTTCAAGATCTGATTCAGTCTCAAAGTAACTTTAAGAGAAAAGAATTTGAAATCAAAGTAAAGGGTAGACTGTACCAATGTCAACTTCCTGGTTTTCATATTATACCATAGTTATGCAAGATTATAATCACAGGACGAAGCCAAGTCAAGGGTACATGGGCCCTATGCACTACTTCTGCAACTTCCTGTGAATCTACAATTATTTTGAATTCAAAAGCTTTTAAAAATCAAAGTAAAGATACTTCCCTAAGAGGTTCTAAGTAATCTCAAAGGCAACCCAGTTTGGTTCAAGAGTGCAGTATCATCAGCCACAAATGACTGTGCAAGTAGCCACAGGCAGCAGTGCTCATTTCAAAACCATGATCAAATTGCTATGAAGATTTATAGCGGCAATTAGGAAAGCCCACGTCATGTTGACAGTGTCTAATTTGGTTACGCTGATCATAAATCTTCAGTTATCTGGGATCACATCGTTAAAATCACCTATAGGCAATACATTTTTGAAACTGCTTCCCGTGAGGTACTAACACAGGAACCATGTTCTGATTTAATTACTATACTTGTCTAACTGTAATACAACAGTGAGCTGGTGTCTTCTTCCTCCACTATGACCTGCAACAAGAACTACATTCTGTCCATCTCATTTATCACCAAAACCTAACCCATACAGGTTCCCAGTAAATAGTCATAGAATAAATAAGAAATAAACCAGTAATTAAGTTATTTTCTTGGACTCCTAAGAGTGACTTTCTTTTCATACAAAGACATCCAAAGAAATCTCAGAGTCCCTATTTCGGAATCAGGACTAAATATATACACATACATACGTGTGTGTGTGAGAGACAAAGCCTGCAATACAGGGGTTTAATCTCTAAAGATCTTTATAACCACTTGTTTTTGATTTCTTAGTTTCTTAAGATACCATAATTCAATTTGATGTAGCATAAATTACAGAGGTCAGGCTTTTTCAGACAGAAAAACCAGTATGAATTGTTGAACACATCCCCCAGCTTCTGCCCAGTTTTATCAAGTGCCAATTCAGGAATCACTGAGACAGCGTCACCTTTGGATTCTTCAGTATTAACCAATCAAAAACCTATCAGCGATATGGCGATTCCTTAAATTCTAAATCCTCTTAGTTTATTAAAACATATGTCTTTCAAATAAATATTCTGAACTGCCCAATCAAAGCAGTGAGATCCCAAAGTGTTGCTTCTTTCTGCAAAAAAGGCACATGTGTTGCCTGTACAGAAAATCCAACAGCCACACCCGAAGTCAATTAGGCTGTTTTAAAGACGTGATGGAGGCTACTCACGATCCTAGAGACACCAAGGACTCCTCAGGGTCATTCATCTGAACGGCCTCAGAAGCCGCCTTGATCCTCAGGACCTCTGCAAAGCCATCACCAAACCAGCACGTGATGTGCGCTATGTCTACAGTAAAGTAGAAAAGGCGATCCTGGCAGAGCTTCCGGCGATACACAGACCGAGGGTCAGCAGACAGCACAGCCTCGATGGCCCGCCTCGCTTCCTCTGCCGACCGAAAGTATTTAAACGAAGCCTGACCAATGCCTGCAATGAGAAGAACACAACTTAATGCTCAAAATCATGCAGGGCAAATTTCAGTACAGTGAACTTCCACGTGGAGGTAGGCTGGTTCCTTGAATATCACTTGAAAATCTACTCAGTCGTTATGGAGAATGTCACCTTCAAGAGGTACTGTCATTAGATTGAATTTATGCACCCTGCCCAAATTCTGCTGAACAAACTGAGACTGCCAAGG